GACGATCGGCAGACTTTAGAGCCGCCGATCGTCTATATGTGAAACACCCGGCAACGCCCGCACTGCATTGCGGCCCGTTTTTTTTTTACAACGGGCGGACGGCAAGTGGTTAAAGCATACCCAACCCATGATAAAGATATAAAAGATTGCAGTTTACCAGTCCTTAGATGCTGTGGCAGTAATAGTTTTCTTTTTTTCAGGATAACATTGTTAGCATGTACAGAACTCAAATACCTATTGATCTTGGCAGAAATGCAGTGTTCTTGTTACTTCCTATGAACTGACTAGGAAGCACAAAATAATGTTATCTCCTTTATGCAAACTAGTAACCTAGTATTCACAATGTCATAGAGTTGCACAAAAGCAGACATGTGAAATGTATGAAGTCCAGCCTGAGTAACAACCATGGCTGTTTCCATAGCTATAGTGACAGAAAGAGTGTTATTTGCAGGGTTAATAGTTAAAATAAAGGGGAATTAGCAATTAGTTACTGACAGTAGATAAACATATAAAGCAGTTGGTTCCCTATTGTGCAAACTACACAAGTAGCTTTCAAAAATATGCAAGATTAATCACTACTAAACACTCCAATTGTATGTGATTAATCAAGAGCTTGTGTAGCTTACACTATAGGGAGCCATTTCTTCCATCTGCTTTGAAAAACAGTAATAGCAACTGAGCTTATAAAAACTGCCTGTGTAGATTCAGCCCTAATCATGCCAAATAAACCATTAGCTAGTAGTGAGATATTTTTTTTCCTCCATAAACTTAAATAGAAGCAGATTAATTGGTTAACTGTTGCTAATTTAAAGCCCACCTGTTGGAAAAGATCCACCCATTTAGCATTTTTCAAAAATATTGTCTTATAAAGCCTGTTTCTTTACTCAACATAATTCATGATCTGTGTTCCGTGTGAGGGTAATTCCAATGAACATGCCCAGAGCATTCCACCACCTCTGCCCATCCCTGCTATTCATACATTATTATGCTAGCAAATGGAAGGGCTGATTGGTCAACATGATCACATGACCATGCTGACTAATGAGAAGCGATTCTACTAAGTGATTTTGTGACACCAATGAAATGTTATACTGTCCAAAAGCAGTCAAATTGAGGGGTGGGCAACAGCAAACAAAATTAAGAGGCCCACAAAGAACAACAGAACTGTGGACTGCAGTTTAAAGAGCCACCTTAAGGAACGTATGCCTGAGGCTGGCACATCCAACTGGTACAACTTGAAGAAAAAGTGAACAGAAGACGAGGTGGCAGCCTTGCAAATCTGAGAAACTGTAGTCTGATGCCCAAGAGGCACTAACAGATCTAGTGGAGTGTGCCTTCACAGGAAAAGGTTGCACCTGATCCTTGAGACCATAAGCTTGACTAATGGATCCCCAACTGATGAAATTGAGCCAAACAGAGGGCCAGAAGAATGCTTTTCTGGTCGAAGTGAAAGGCTGAAACTATCCAAGTTAGGAAGGAAGTTCTGGGCCTCAACACCACCTTATCCTCTAATGAACCTTTTCTGGTTTTTGCATAAAGGACAAGGCCACCAGCTCAGAAACTTGCCTCTCGGGGTGATGGCAACAAGAAATGCAACCTTGTGAGTGAGAGTCAAAAGGGGAATAATCTTGATGGGTTCATAAATAGTTTTATCAACCGACAAGAGGACCAACTTCATATCCCACGGAGTCAGAAGGGAATGAACAGGGGAGCCACATGGGAGACCCCCTGCAAGAAGGTCTGAATCAAAGAATGGCAAGCCAGTGGTCCCTGGATCTCAAGAGCAGAAACTTGACCCCTTAATGCTGATCGAAACACATCTGTAGCAGGGCAAGGATTCCACTGAGAATTTCTTGGGGTGAAAGACTCTCGCCTCACACTGAGTGAAGAATGCCTTGCATGTGTAATGATAGACCTTGTAATAGAAGTAGACTTTCGTCCTCCCTCTGTCCCTCATAGCCTAAGCTTCAACAGTTATGCCCCTAAGGCCAGCAACTGTCAACGCAGGCCAAAAGGTCCAGGCATTCTGGAAAAGCTCCACAAATTGTGTGCCAGGATTCTTATCAGATCAGAGTACCACATCCACCAATATGGAGCTATGAGAATCACAGGAATGCCCTCCAGCTTGATCATGTGAAGCAGATGAGGAAGGAGTTTTAGGGGAGGAAAGATGTATACCAGGGAGTACTAATACCATGGAGCTACATGGCATTCCCCTGCTTCATCTAGAGGTTGTGAAACCTAGGAGGCAAGGAGGTCCACATCCGGCATACCTACTTGCGACACAGGCCTGGGGCACCTCTGGGTGTAGAGAACAGCTCTGCCAGTTGGTCATGTCTGGGCTGCAAATGGCGACCAAGGCTGAAAAGTAAAGTTCTGCCCAGGACAGAATCTGTTCTACCTTTCTTGGTTTCTTCGTGATGGTTTATATATACCACTGCCGTGGCATTGTCCAAATTAATTTGGATTAGATGACCCTCCAGCCAGGAAGTCCAGCGTTAAAGGGACAGCAAAATCTTCCGAAATTTCAGAACATTGATTGGGAGGGGAGATTCCTCCCACGTTCCAGTCCCTTGCACCAGGGTGCCCAGTACTCCTTACCCAGACACATATGAGTTTATTTGGTGGGTAGTGTACTCAAACATTTATATGTAGCACACCCATTTGGTTGGTTTGACTTTATGGAGATCTGCTAATCTGTACAGCCATTGAGTAATGTGGCTCCCAGCAGAGAGTGAGCCTTCCAAGACTGAGCCTTAGACTTCTTTAATTGAGAAAGATTAGCATTCTTGCCACCTGTGGCATCCCTAATGAGGGTATCCAGGGCACCCCTGAGGCTTTGTCTCAGGGGTGCAGATTAAACTCTTTAGGTGCTGGTTTCGCAGTCCAACAATTTAGCCAAAGTGTCATCCTCATGTTTACTGACAGAAGACTTATACAGTGAGGAAAATAATTATTTGATCCCCTGCAGATTTTTTAAGTTTGCCCACTTACAAAAAAATGAAAGGTCTATACAGTAATACCTTGGTTTACAAGTAACTTGGTTTGAGAGCGTTTTGCAAGACAAGCAAACATTTCTGAAAAATGTTGCCTTGATATACAAGCAAATGTCTTGCAATAAGAGCAAAATTTTGTAGAAAAGCACCACCTGAATAAGGCTGTAGCAGTGCGAGCGATGAGACATGTCACATTGGATAGATTCCTTGTTAAGGTTTCACAAAATGAAAAAGATTCCATTGAGTCAAGAGATAACAGTGATTCCGTTAGTGACAGTGAAAGTCATCCTACACAATAATCCTCCTCTCCTGTCCCCCTCACACCAGCCACGAAGGTACCTGTAATTGGTTTATTTTTCTTTACATTTTACACAGTATTATATTACAGTACAGTATTGTAATCATTGTTATATGAATATTTTTGGGTTGTGGAACAAATCATCTGAATTTCCATTATTTCCTATGGGGAAATTCGCTTTGATATACAAGCGCTTTGGATTACAAGCATGCTTCCGGAACGAATTATGCTCGTAAACCAAGGTATTACTGTACTTTTTATCATAGGTGTATTTTAAATGATAGAGACAGAATATCAACCAAAACTCCAGAACAAACACATGATACAAATGTTATAAATCGAGTTGCAGTTCAGTGAGTAAAATAAGTATTTGATCCCCAAGCAAAACATGACTTGGTGGAGAAACCCTTGTTGGCAAGCACAGAGGTAAGGCGTTTCTTGTAGTTGGTTACCAGGTTTGCACACATCTCAGGAGGGATTTTGGTCCACTCTTCTTTACAGATCTTCTCTAAATCCTTAAGGTCTCTTGGCTGTCGGTTGGCAACTCGAAGTTTCAGCTCCCTCCATAAATCTTCTATCGGATTAAGGTCTGGAGACGGACTAGGCCACTGCAGGCACAGCAGCAGCTCAGGGCACCTCCTATCATGTCAAAACTACCAACACTTGTACATCAATCCCCACCTCCCACGCTACTGTCTCAGGGCATACACATCAGCAATAACACAGGCAGTGGAACTCTGTTCCCCCTTCTCCCTATATGTCGTGTTGACCATGGTCACAGATTTAAAAAAATGGCCAATCCAGAATTTTACAGTTGTCCAAAAATAGAGGGGGATGTAATCTTCCAATGGAGATGCTTGTTCTTGTGACAATTGTCTTAAGGCAGGACATGAAATGAAGGGAGATCACCCAGACTGGATACAAATTGCATAACATGAACTTTCTCACTTTGGCCCTCTGTGACTTACAGAGGCCTGACTTCATGGCTACGTTTGCCTTTGTGGCGATCAAAGATTCTTTTATTGCATCAGGGCAGGGCTGGGGGTGTGTGGTAGTTCAGGGCGGAGCCTTAGCCATGTAGACGAAAACGTCAGGTTAGAAAGTTAAAACTAAATCAGAGGGGCACAACATTTTCTGCCCAATAAAGGTAACTGTAAGCATGTTCTGGAATCTGCCTTAACCCCTTCATGACTGAGCTTGTTTTTAGTTTCTGTTCGTAAGGACTTTAAAGGTATAGGCAGGTTTTATACCTATATATTACCTAGACGTTTCTGTTAAGTTTCATGTGTGAAATACGAAGTGAGGGTAAGGTTCGGAGTCAGCGGGGCTTTCACTTGTAAAACCTCTGCACTGAGAACTACATAGTACCAAATACCAACACACTGGCTTCAACGGGCACTATCAATTTCAAATATGGTATAGGGTTTTGTGTGCTAGGCAAGGCTAAGAGAAAGTTCAATCAGATTAAATCTCTGCAAAAGATTTTGGCATGAGTTTGCAAGTACTTCCTGCTTGCATTACCTACCTGCTGATGTCTAGTATTACTTAAAATTCTAAATGATCCAGGAAGATTTCCCAGTATACAATGACATTTAAAAATTACCAACTGTGCCATTTATTAAAACTAATGCCTAGACCAATTTGAAAAAAATATTTTATTACTAAATTAAAACATTTAAATATACAACAGGTAAAATGTTTGTAAGTCATATATGGTCAGTTTTAATTCCCATCAAACCAAAGCCTGGAAAGACTCCACCATCCCTATAAAAGAAAAGATAAACATTATTGAAACTATGATCTCCATATTCAGTCAGGTTTATACAGAAAACTATAGATCTCCCACCTCCAAGAAAAAAAAGATTATATAAACAAGAACAGCCTGTGTTACACTTTAACCCATTCAGAACCATAAAAAGGTGCTCATTGTTCTAATGGAACAGTGCCCATAGTGGTCATATATATTTCACCCACACACACATAGAAGTGATCTTGATTGAATAGAGTTACAAATGCTGTTTATTTTTACACTCAATTTTTAAGGACTATGATTTAGTTAGGAATTCTTTAAAGTTTACTTTCACTTTTGCAGCCAAATCTGGGTAACACCTGATAATAACCTGGACCCTTGGTGAGATGTCACACAGCCTTAAGACTTCACGCAGCCTCCTGAGAGCACGCACAGCCCTCCTGAAACCCTGCAGACATCATGCTGCCACCCTGGAGCAACACAGGAGCTTGAAGTTTCATACTATTCTGCATTGCTATATAAAGTATTGATGGGAATTGTAGTCCTCTATAGCTAGTGGTATTCTGCATTGCTGTATAATGTTTTCCTGGGATTTGTAGTCACTCTACAGCTTGGAGTCAGTGGCAGAACTACCAGGGGTGCAGTGTTTCCAGCTGCAACTGGGCCCTAGCACTCCACCACTGTCCTAAATCATTAGTCAGTATTGTTTTAGAAAACCAGTCACATGACACTAAAAAAGTATTGTAAATTGGTATCAGCGAGTACTTGAGGAAAAGTATCGGTACTCATACTCGGTCTGGAAAAAATGGTATTGGTGCATTCCTACTACTTTTATAAATGTTTTTTTTTCCTGAAAACTCCAGTACTAAAAAAAAAATATGTACTTTTGGCTTGCTGTGCAATGTTTATAGGTGGAGGGAAGGGGAGCAGTGTTTGCCATAATTAACACTGTACTGTTCTGGCAGATCTCATCATCAGTAGTTACCAAGATGTGCAGGACTTTTTGTCCTAACAAAGGGAGAAGATCTAAAGACACTGTATGTCAATGTACTGTCTCTCACTTATCTGTATATTGCATCATTTTAAAGAAGTAGAAGCTGCCAATGGAGTCCATATAAACCTGCTCCAAAGAAACAAAAAAGTAAGAAGTAAAAACAAAAATGACATGTTGTGTGAATGGGAACACAAACATATGGTAGGGGTTTCTCAAAATTGACTGCAACAGTGGAAATGCACTTTAAAATGTAAAAGTAGACAAAAAATGTTACACATTAGGTATAGCAGTAAGTCTGTTCATCCAATTTTCTCCAGTACAGGTTAGGAAAGACTGATTGGATAGTAAAAGAGCAAGAGGTCACTGATTAGATCATATCTGTGATCTTTCCTCCAATCAGCAAGCACTCTGCAATGCTTCGCTAGCTTGCGGTGCTGCCCCTTCCTTTTCCGGTCTAAATACTGGTAAGTAGGTGACTACAGTGTGCTACCATTCCTTCAGTTTTAGAAGCTCCCAAGTAAACCAATCCGTCCCCCGCCCCCTCAAAAAAAAACCCCAAAAAAACCATTTCCCAATAGCTGGCGAAAATTCTAACTCAATATATATATATATATAATTTTTTGCTCACCGATTGTTACCAGGGAAAAGGATGATACACAGAGTGTTCAATGCAAGATTCTTATACATCTGATTAATTTTTGTATCTGTATTCTTGATGATTTCTGAAAGATCAGCCTGAAAAAAAAACATGGTCAACATAAAAACTCATATAAAAGAGGAACCTGTCAGGATAAAAATATCAAAACTGCCTCTGCCGATTTGCTTTTAAAGGGTAAAATCCCAATTATACATGCAGCAGTGAAAGTGTTTAAAGTAAGAATTACCAGGAGCCCCGCCATGTCCCATATTATCCAGGAAGAAAGTGTGAGTCTAACAATTATAGGATTTCATTATACCTAGCTTTATCCACAAATCTTCAGAAAGTTCATAGATGTTACATTACTATTTAGGAGTTCTTGCTCCCCCCCAATGGCAATGCAATGCCCAAATAAACAGTGGTAAGCTCAGCCCCATGAAATCTCAATTCAGTGACAAACAAGGAATTGGTAATTCTACTTGTCCACTTTGTCCTCAACAATCAGGACTTGTAATAATATATGTGTGTTTGACTTGAGGAAAATGATACCATGTGTAATATAGAAGTACCCTTCCTATTTAATACGTATATAGGGACACTCAAACTCCATTAATGACCGCCAGAGTGGACACTTAACTAGTGAAAAGCCATTTTCTGTCTGCAGATCCTAAGGGGGAGGGTGATGCATATTAGGATAGTAACTATGACTAAGCAGTGGGTATGATAGGAGAGTTCTAATTTGTCCTGTAGTGACATAGGGGTCAAAGGGAGCAACCAAAGAGCACAGCAAGGAACCAGACTCTTCCTGAAGTTCAGACTTAAGGGAGTCAATTGGCTTTGAAGTCCTGGTACCCAGAGGTGTCCTCTGTGTCTGCAGAGACTCCTTTGTTCTTCCCTGTTCACTCTACCCGAGTCTAGCCAATTGTGTCAACAGGCTGTTGCAGCCCACATACAGACAAGATTGGGGGCTCTCTGACCCTGTTATCACCACCATTATGGGACTGACGGTGGCTCTCTGGATTAATCACTACACTCTCCGGCCTTCAGTTCCCAAGTCTGCACCTTTTGTATTGGAATTAACAACATTGTGTCCTCAGTAGGAATACCTGTGGCTCCTTGGGACTTCAATTTGATCCTATAATTTCTCAAAGGTTTAACTTTTTGAGGCATCCCTGTCAATGCTTTGTAGTCAGTGGGTGGCCACTTTAGGTTTCCATCCTCTAGGTCACTTTTAATTATATAAAGGCTACAACCTTAATTCTTCTAGATGATTTCTACCTTCTGTGTCAGTGTGTATTTTGTGTTGACACTACAGCCCTCCTTGTAGGTCTGATTCCCTTTCTGTTATTCCAGAACTTGTTTTATTTTTTAAGACATGTCATGGGTTATGTATGCAGGTCTCTAACATAAGGGTAAAGGTACAGCTAAGGCACCGCTTATAGATGATTTCAGGATATTTCTTACCTTAGGGATGTTTTCAAGGCTTAATGGCAGGTGTGAGGGGATACTAAACATTGCTTGTTGAAACCAGCGAAGCAAGTGGCTAGAGGTGACTGCCTTCTGACACATAAATCCACCATGGGTACATATATGTACAGCAGCCACAGCAGCACTGTCTGGGCTTTGGAATTCTGCAAGAAAAAGCCCTTATAAACAGCAACAGCCATGCAGAGTCTGTAATATAACACAGTCCTTCAAAATTCAGAGTTAGGACTTACCGGTAACTCTATTTCCATTAGTCTTCCAGGACAGCATCACGAGATGGAATCTCCTCCCCCACACACAGGAAACACGTCACTTAATCTGCTTAAAAGACCCTCCTCTCCTCCACTCCCTCAGTCATCACGAGAACCGAAGGCAAGCTGGAAAAAGACAAGGCACAAACAGGCAATACCACTACATCACATTAACACTACAAGCATCAATGGGCGGGCAGTTGCTGTCCTGGAAGACTAATGGAAATAGAGTTACCGGTAAGTCCTAACTCTGAATTTCCCATAACGTCTTCCAGGACAGCATCACGAGAGGATAACCAAGAACTTACCAATTAGGGCGGGAGCTTTGAAGACCGGTATCCGCAGTCACTGCAAGCTGCAGAGGTAACCCAGGATCCATGTCTGCAGAGCCTGTTGAAGAGAAGCCTGCCAGCGTTTCCTCTCAGTCACTACTGAGATCCACGCTGTATTAAGCACCAGCCGAGCCCTCCCCTTCCTCCTGCGCCGAAAACGAGGCTTGGAACGCACAAGCCCGGCGCCCGGAAATGACGTCACCCACGCCGGAAGTGACGTACGCGGCCACCCGGCCTGGCCGTGGAACACGTCCCGAGGCCCTGAGAACCGGACAGACCCCTCTGAACGGCGGTCCACCGCTTCCCCTGACCAGCCAAGGGGGTTTCGCCCTCCCGGTACCGGCCCGCACTGGGCACTGAAGGGGGAAAGGAAGCCAGCCTCATCTCCTGCAGCGCTAGGAGAATCCCTGGGGCTCCACAAGGTAGGCAAACCTACCCCTCTGCCTTACACAGGCAGGCCAACAAGGAAGACTTCCCGGGCAGCATCACCACATGGAAGCCCTCTCTCAGCGTTCTGTGACGCGCTCCCCAGCTTGACTGAGGAAACACAAAAGACTGAGGGAGTGGAGGAGAGGAGGGTCTTTTAAGCAGATTAAGTGACGTGTTTCCTGTGTGTGGGGGAGGAGATTCCATCTCGTGATGCTGTCCTGGAAGACGTTATGGGAAATCCTTAATAATTTGGGACAACAAGCAAATGCTGCCCAGAAAACATTTCCAGTGTACTTAGGTTAGCAAGTCCACTCATTGACCTATAGTCTCTGTTTGAATAATGCATTGAATCTGGATTCAGCAAGACTGTCTTCTCAGTGCGGGTGTAAAACCATCCATGTGACGATTCTGTGCAATATCTCTCTGCTGCATAGAGCCTACATTTTCATAGCCTCAGATTTAGGGCCTCTCACAAAATAAGTATACCAACAGCAAGCCAGCTGCTCATACCAAATCAGAACCATTTACTGGCCACCTCTTAAATGGAAGCTGTTCTCTCCAGTAGAGATGGTATCCGGCTAATGTGAGTTTGTGTACTGTTCTGAAATTGAACTACCTTGTTCAGTATTAATTCCAGCACTGACTGATCTGAAGGGGGCATGTTCTTTTTTTTATATGTCCGCATTAAAATTACATTATTTTTTAGTAGAATTAAAATGCATGTCAAATATTCCTTAGACCAAACACATTATGAATTCATTTTCAATATCCACCATATTTATTTACTTACTTAAAAAACAGTATTTCTCATGTTGTTGGCTTCCTGGATTCCTTGGTAGAAAAATTGCTTTGATTTCTTTAAAATGACCAAACTGCTGTTGAAGAAAATGTTCAGTTAAGGGTTTCATAAATCCAGAGACATATAAAGTCTCTCTATTTTCTGGATCTTCTTCCATATCCTTTATAATGTCCTCATAATCAAGCGACATTCTAGTTACCAGCCTCTGAACCTGTCAAACAGGGAAAAGACATGGTCAAAACTATCCCTAAAATGACATGGAGCTCTGTGAAAGGTAGTCTTCTAATGTACCTGTTGAGTGGTACCAGAGTCTATAGCTAGGAGCAAGTTTAGTAATGTGCACTTCTCAATTTTTTTTTTCTTGGTGTAAAAAAAAAGTGTGCAACTTTAAAAAAGAAACACCAGTCAAAATATATTTTCAAATCTATATGGTAGGCAGTGCCTACCTGTAAAATATGTAGGTTGCACCAGGGTCACAAAATCACATTTTAAAAGTCTGATTCCCAGTTTGGGGAAGTGGAGGTGGAAGTGTGGGATGCTGGGGTTTTTTTTTTTGGTACAATAAATGTTTCTTGGTTTAAGTGTCAAACATAATAGAGCTGATCAACCAATGTCTGGAGCAAATCCCTTCTTTCACTGTCACGTTTTGTAAAGCATTTCTATGTACCTTTCAGACTCACAAGACCAGCAAGCGCTGTCCACAACGTGTAAAAAAAAGCTCCGACTAAGGGTGAGCCACTGAAAACATGTTTTTACTGTATGAGACTTCTAAATAAGCACCTTGCCCATTGCTTTCCTACCTGTACTCAAATCTGCTTCCCAGTGCAGTCATTGCTCCCCCTTTTGACACATGCCCAAACTCTACATGTTCCCATCCAAAATACCTCCCTCAACATAGAACTTGTCTATCTAAGCCAGGTGTTCCCCATAGGTCAAATTAAATCTACCAGTCGATTCCAAAGCTAATGCTGGTAGATTAGCGATCGCAAGTCCGCTCAGTCAAGCAGGAGGAGACCGGTCAAGCTAGGACAAGCAGCACAGTGAAGGAGGAGGCGGCTCTATATATATCTTCATTTTTCATGGAAGGGGGCGGGAGTTGTGCTAAGGTAGCGGGACTCAGCTGATCTTTGCAGCCTCGAGCGCTCTGCCAGCATCAGGAGTTAAGTCTCGGGGAGGGGGGCCTCAGCAGTTTTAAAAAGGACCAGTCGAGGTCTGAAAGAAAGGATGAAAAAAAGAGCCAGCAATGCAGACAGTTTGGCATTACAGGTAATATTCTCATAGTTTACCTCTCCTCTGATAAGAGTGCTAGGGTTGACTTTAGGTGGCCATACATAGCGAATTTCAGCTGCTTTTAAATGCTGCTGTCAGCACCCTTTCAGCTGGCATCCCTCAATCAGCTGATCAAAGGAGCCAATTGGAAAATCTTTCTACAAACAGAGGCGGCAGCCAATGAGTTGCCAGCTCCGTGCGGGGCTGCTGGCCGCTGTCAGAATATAAAGAACACAGCAGGGATTCCTCGATCAAAGTGCTCGTAGCATTGATAGAGGAATCTGCTTTTTTTTGTTCAGCCCGCAGGTTGAACAAAAAAAATAGAGCAGTGAATGGCAGCTTTTGGGCCCATTTACACTAGTACAGCGCATTCATCGCATGCTCCTGGGGGATGAACGCACTGTACCATACAATCACACCTACCCTTTGTTCTGGTGCGGGAGGTATGTTGCAGTGCCATTTGTTGGTAGACCTCATTGAGCTGGTCATTTGATAAGTAGATCTTAACACAAAAAACTGTGGGCACCCCTGACCGCCAACCAGGAGATGGAACAGAAAAAAACAATTCCATCAAAAACACAAGGACTCACGGCCTAAGAGGGAACAAAAAACATCTCTCCAAGTACTAGGATCAGACAGTGGAACTAAAAACGATGGAGGGAAGATCAGAGTCTCTCTAGGTAAGAGAAGACTCAGCTCACTTAACCCGAGGTCCTAGAGAGAAGGGGAGTGCACAACTGGAAGAACTGCCAGGGCAAACATCCAGCTCGTCAGAGTGGAGACTGCGCAGAAGAATTCTAACAATGACTGATTCAGAGTCAGTATGACCAAAAGGGAAGGTAAATTAGAGCATCCTGTACAAGGAGCAGGCAGGGAATAGCAGGCACCAAATTACAAGGTGGAATACAGATCTAATATAGCCAAACCAGCTCAACTCCCACCAATCTAAAGAAAAGAAGGCCCCCCTGGGCAAACCCTAAAGCTGGCCATACACCTTACAATTATCTGCAGAGTTTCTGTGGTGAGATGGAAAAGGTGCAACAGATTCCTCCATCTACACTTAACTGTGTGGATGGAGTAATCTCCACCTGGGCCAATCTATTGCACTTTTTCCATCTGACTACAGAAAATCTGCAGATAATTGTAAGGTGTATGGGCACCTTAACTACCTCCGGGCCAGGAGCTCTCTCGATCTGAGCGGGCGTCTCTTGACGTCCGCTCAGACACGCCCCCTTGAGCGGGAAATGGCCGGAATTTTAAAACGGGCAGCGATGCCCGTTAATATACATGCGATCCGCCGGCTGTAGAGCCGGCCGATCGCATGTATGGGGATAAGAAAGAGCGTCCCTGAAATAACTTGCCTACCATAAGGCCTTGCAGATTCATAGAAGAAAAGGCCCTCTTGCCTCCCCACATTCAACAAAGCATCAGAATCCATGGAGCAAAGGACAAGAGTCTTATCAGGATGGCAAATAGCATTTTCCTGGGTAAAACAAATGCCAGAATGGTCCTCCTCACAAGCCTGCAAAACATTTATGTAACAAGAGCCTATGCCCAAGTGAACAGATTCTAGTCTATTTATTAAGGCATTCCTTGTTAGTGCAGAGGATTTCTACATTAGGAAAATAGTTGTTTAGCATGCAGATATCCCAGAGTATCATGGGGCCCTCCTCTGACATGCTTCAGATCTAAAACACACCTAGACAGGTGGATGACTCTCCCCCCATGTCAAGAATTAACCAGTTGAAGAAACTGTTCTCCAGAATAATCACACTTGATGGGAGCAAAGCGTACAGAACACAGGGTTTTGTCCAAGTCAGGTTCCAAACCACCTTTCTTATTAAAATAAGAGCGCCGGGTCCTCCTAGACAGTAAGGGCATGTAAGTGTCTCACCGTTGTCCAACAGTGTCCCTGTCAGGAAACCTGCCCAGGGAATGATCCTGCTATATAAGAGGAACAATCTGGAATGTAATCCTGGAGACACGTATTCTCCAATGTCAAAATTTCCATATAAGTGGGAAGAGAAGCCCCAGAACTGGAGGACTGGGACTACCTGATCTTCACAGACAGACAAGTTAGTCTGGTCAGGAGGAATATCCAGAACAGCAGAGGCGAGTTCTGACATAGTCTGTCAAGAGTTGGTAGAGGAACTCCTCAAAATAGAAAAACCCCTTGACTCCTACTTTCCTACTACAGGAGAGAGAGACCTGTAACTGCCTGACCAATGGAGAGGAACATGAAGAGAAACCTGCTATAAACCCTTTAACTGAAGAGCCACACCAGTTAAAACTGATTTGCAAGCAAAGAGCAGTTTCCGGCACTGATTCCTGAAGAAGCATGATCCAGCAAAATCTTGGATGCATTAGGCCCATTAGGAAGGAGTTGTCCACTAGAGGCTCATCCGAGTGTCCCACAATGGGGAGGCCATTAAAAAGATACTATGGCAGACCCCTAAGAACACTAGGGGGTCTAATTATAAATCTTCCGCCCAGCCGTACTTTGGGCGGATGCCGGTCGCATGGTTTTCCCACCACTAGCTAGAGCCGAAGAGCATAGGATATGTTGCACCAGCATGGTGGTGGTGATGCAACGAAGCTCAGGGTAAGAGGCAAGTCCTCGGGTACTCACAAAAGCCAGACAACTGGTAGCCAATGAGGGTGGAATGGCCGAAGGTGACCAACTGTAGATGGGGAGCATAAATGGACCGGAGATCAGAGTTCCCCATGGCTCTTTTCAAAGATGGAGACCTGCAGAGCACTCTGCCAAGGAGGACGCCGAATGGAGACGCCAGTGACTAAGCACTTTACAGTGCAGCCCCCGAATCGTTCTTGCTGCGGGTCCAAGTATGATTTGCCAAGGCTCCATTGAGAAGAAAACTGATCCTGATAGATGTTGGAGGCCCCACGGTGGCTTAAAGCCACTCTATATAAATTATAGAAACATGATAAAATAATCTTGCAGTATAATCTCAGAAAAATTGTGTAAAAGAGAGTACTTCTCTCAGAGCCGATAGAAGGTGCCCATCACCTAAGGACACCGGAGAAAATTCAGGAAGGCTGGGGTTATGCAAAGCTGCCCTACAGTTTTGATTGATTTGCCAGTGTGCAATCATCTGAAGGTAGCTGCTTAACCCATTGTTTAAGGGATATAACTCCCTGTGTGCTGTGATGCACAATCAAAAGAACGCAGAGCACATTCGACACCCAGAGGATGGCATCAGCATTCAGTCCCAGCAAAAAGAGGAATTCAAAGGCCCCCAAAAAATTAGGTAGCTCTTGGTGCTCAGCCTGATCGGTCTATTCACAGATTGAGTCTTCAGAGCAAGCCCAGAGGCAATGGTAACAGTGGTGGACCTGTAAAGCGCTCTGTGGCTAACTTGTTACCAGAGCAGGGACTGGAAAGTGCCTAGCACAAAGCCCAGTGCCCGTAGGTCACATCCAGGCTAGCTTTGCACTGCCTTCTCCAGCGGAGTATGGGAACAGCATGCCAAAGCTAGGCAGAGGAAAAGCCAATCTAAACAGCTGCCATTGTAAAGACCAGCTCATGCAGCAATGTATTGAAGAATACCAATTGGAAAAAAGATTGGAGAAGCAAAAAGAACTAGTAAAAAATGGTTAGACTTTTCTTAGCAGAACTGAAGAAAATATATCCAACCTCCAAGGACACTAGCAAAAACTACAGGCACACTGGGTGAATTATTCTGGACTGGCCTACACATTTTTGCTTGCCAATGTCCAATTCTCCTGTACACAGCAGTAAAACCAGACCGTATGTGACATTCTGTGTCACTCAATAGGCGAGAACAAAATATGTTTTATCAGCATAAGGTCATGCACTGTGTTTACAGTTTCTAATAAATGCCATGACACAATGTTAGTCTATTTTACTACAGCTGCACCCATAATAAAAACTAACAAAAACAAGCAATAAAAATTATGACATCATGTGTTTCTATACAGAGAATTTAGCTATTGTCTCAGATATGCGTTTTTAAAGCATAATTGAACTTTCAGTTTAAATTAACCGAATACATTCCAGGTGCATCAAAACAAAAAGGTGTGCTGGCTCAGTGATATGTACCAATCCTCTGTGCAGGACAAACACTGGAGCGATCAGCTGATCACTCCAGTGTTTGTAAATAACTGGGGACACACAGTACTATGTGTCCCCAGTTATGAATGAACAGAATGTGATTTGCATCACTTCCTGTTCATTCATGAGTTCCTCAATGGGGAGAAGTACTCACTACAGAGGCTCCTCCCCATTCAGAAACTGGTGATAGTAAATTTTTTCTGAATGAACGGGAAGCCTCTGTGCTCTCCATTCATTTATAACAGGGGCTGCAGAAAAAGAGATTGAGGACTTTGTGTCCTCAATTTCTTTTTCTATTTTAAAAAGGAAATATGAGGGGGCTGCTTAGACCCCTAATATTTCCCCCGAAGCCCTCCCAACAGTATATTAGAAAAAATGCAATTCAAAAAAATAAATAAATAAGAAATAATAAAAATAAAATAATAAATAGTAGAAAATCCTAAAGGCAGGGCACTGGGTGATATCACACGCCTGATGGGGGGCACCTTTTTTTTTCTTGCCACGTACGCAAAAGGAGCTGGCTGCGGCTATGCTTCCGCGGTGCTTGTGTGGCTGCCGGCTGAATGTGTCAGACGCCGCAGACGGAAAGGGGCGAGACACCTCTCCCTGTGTGTAACGTCGGCCACACGAGCACCACGGGAGGGTAGGACGACGCCGCCGCCTCTAGAACGCACTGAAATGCATGCCGACCGACTCCCTGCATTCAGGGGCGGGAGGGGGCGTGGGGTTGCACCGCAGCCATGTTCCCCCCCACAGTTTGATTGCCCGCACCCGGAATGCAGGCACGTTAGTGCCTGCATTCCAGTCCAATGTGACCTGCAAAAATAGTGCTTGCAGCATTTTTGCGGATGGCACTGGACCGGAACGCAGGCACTAATGTGGGGGCTGCTTAGACCTCTAATATTTCCCCGAAGCCCTCCCAACAGTATATATATAAAAAAAAATGAAATTAAAAAAAATAACAAATTAAATAAAAATAAAATTAAAAATACCGTATATACTCGAGTATAAGCCGAGGTACCTACTTTTACCCAAAAAAACTGGGAAAAAGTATTGACCCGAAATAAATTAAAAAATCCTGAAGGCAGGGCACTGGGTGATATCACATGCCTGTTGGGGGACACCTTTTTTTTCTTGCCACGTACGCAAAAGTCACTGGCTACGGCTATGTTTCCGCGGTGCTCGTGCGGCTGAATGTGTCAGACGCCGCAGATGGAAAGGGGCGAGACACCTCTCCCCGTGTGCAACGTCGGCCACACGAGCACCACGGGAGGATAGGACGCCGGCGCCTCTAGAACGCACTGGAACGCAAGCCGGCAGACTCCCTTCATTCAGGGGCGGGAGGGGGCGTGGGGTTGCACCGCAGCCATGTTCCCCGCCCACAGTTCGATTGCCCGCACCCGGAATGCAGCACATCAGTGCCTGCATTCCAGTCCAATGTGACCTGCAAAAATCATTTTTGCGGATGGCACTGGACCGGAACGCAGGCACTGATGTGCCTGGGTTCCAGGTGCAGGCGATCGCACTGTGGGTGAGGGGCCTGGCTGCAGTGCCATTGACCTCAATGCACCGCCACGCCCCCTCCTGCAGGTGTTTTTTCGTTGGTAGATCTCATTGACCTCGTCATTTGAAAAGTAGATCTCCAGACAAAAAATAGGGGGTGCCCCTGGCGTAGAGCAATCAACTGGCCAATTATTTCTCCACTAGAATCAATAAGGATAGGGCTTATGGCTTTGGAATATATTAGAATTCCTCAGTGTGTATGCAGCCTCTTACCTTGATGCAGCAGCCATTAACATATGTGCCATTCAAATGTTTCACAGCAAGTTGGGCAGCTTCCAAGACACTGTACTTAATGCAGACATAAGGCTGAGGGAAAAAAATATAGGATATTGTAACAAAGTCCATTCAAAGTCATAAGGAAGGTAGAACACAAGCTTTTTACCATATTGTGATTTTTTTTTATTATGACACACTAGCAAATGGCAACACACAGTAATCAACAGGTACATCTTCAAGTGAAGTTTGCCATCAGTGATTGCACATAATCATGGCTTTTTGTATTATTTTGTTAAGTAAAGCAGTTATATATAGATGTTTTACATATTACAGGTAATGGCATTGCTCTTTACATGATGGGTATGTAAAGATTTTGAGTACACACACACACACACTATGGCTGACCAATGTGTTACAGGTCCTCAACCTTGTCGGTTTATTTGCACTCCAGCAGAGGAGTTTTCCCAGCACATCTGGAAACACCTGTCTGCCTCAGTATTTCTGCTTTGGAGAGACCTTGCTGATGCAGGATAACCACCTTTTGTATTGTTGCCATTCTAATTTTTGTCATTTGTGTGAGATTTAAAGGTATACCATATCTACTGCAACTATACCATTTTAGCATGGTTGTTCTCTACTCAATTTTATACTCTGTGCACATCTGCTTCTGTGAATACATTTGGGTTAATCTGCACATTATATTACTAATCATTATCACCCGTTTGTTATATTTTTGTTTAATTAAGCTATGGGTTATATATATTACATAGTTACATAGTTACATAGTATTTGAGGTTGAATAAAGACATTAGTCCATCAAGTCCAATCCTTAAATACCTTCAATTTCCTTAAATACATTCAAATATTTAATGCCTTACTTTTAGCTAAAGGAATGTTTGGAACTCTTTTCAATAGCCTACTACAGAAGAAGATTATATCAAATATTTTATTGAACTGTGTAAAGTGTCCACGACCTTTGCACAGTACTGTACATTTGTTTACAACTGATGTCAAAGATCATAAAGCTCATAAACTGTAAAAATATTGTTTGGAGCAACAAGTATTGTTTGGAGCATGCATATAGTGATATAATCAATACCAAAACCAGGACTGGTTGAATAGATAACGCAGTATTCTGAAAAATCCCTTACACAAGAACCTCATTTTAACTGGGCACGGGATCAGAATCTGATTCAAAAGACCCGGAAGCAGCAATTGTGTATACGGCACCATCCTTTGCAGGCAGATTTTCCCACCTATGGTTTCCCAAGACATTCTTCTATAAATTAGGATCTTACCTGACAAGTATCTAATATCATGTTTAGTGAATGGATAGGGCCGCAGATCTGGAAATGCATCTTCACAGATTTTAGGCACACAGGCTCTTTAAAGGGTCCAGCAAATATTGTCATCATCTCTTCATACTTCCGTATTACCTAGGACATAACAAGCAAGGGGTGTGAACACGACAGTAACAATTTACAGTACTTATTTTTCCCTGTAAATCAGGGGTAGGCAAACTCCAGTGTCATGCCTGTTGCTATCAGAGTCCTGAAATGCCTAAAGGGATTTGTTGTTCCACAGCAGCTTGAGAGCCGGGGTTTGTACCATTAGTAAAAGGAAACTATAGGGTTTTTGGGTCAATTGTATTGTTTTAAAATACATTTAATAAATATTTAGGTTTGTACATTTTAAAGTTAGAATTATGCCTTTTTTTATTCTATTGCCCTTTCTCTCCTGAGCATTATGGGCCCGCTAATGAGACAACACAGCAATAGCTGACTGCCTTTTGTCTCACTTTGTCTAACTGAAACCTCAAATGGATCCATCTGGATGGATCCACTAAAGGGATTAGTCAGTTCCCTGCTTTATCCATGTGTATGTGCTAATTTTAGCTTGAGCCATTGGGCAGTGTAAACAGGATTTTACAAAGCTGTAAAAGAGACAAAGAAAACATATGAAGGGGAGCCTAGGACTGGACAGAAGACTAGGTGATAACAGATGCAATTTTTCGTATGTACATTAATTAAGATCTGGTATGAGAGAATAACTAGCCATTTTTCCTGTCAAGCACACAGTTCTCCTAGTTACACTCCCAGATGCAAATTGATTAGACAAGCATACCTCCCAGACCCCAACAGATCTTGTAGAAATAGATTTATTGCTTCTACCTGACACAAGTCATGTGATTACCCATATAATACAAGCATGGACTTATAAACTCTAAGACAGCCATGGCAAACCTATGGCACGCGAGCCACAGAGGACACGCAGAGGCCCCTCTGGTGGCACGCAAGCCTAGGCAGGGTTGTCAAATCCCTATTGCCCGACACTTGGGACATGCAGTTCCTGGCGCTGGGCGGGTAGTTTTTTTCCTACATTTAGAGCCCTGGCTAAATGTACAGCGGGAAAGACGGTGTTAAAGTACAAGTGATCCCCGCAATGCCGCCGAGATGAATTGTAATAAGCCTTTTGGTCTGTCTGTCCCCCCGCCGGCTGCCTCTCTCCCCACTGGCCGCCTCCATCCCCGCTGTGGGTTCTGGGGGACCCGGGACCACAGCAAAGTTCAGGATAGAGAGCGGAGAACGTCCGCTCTGCTCCATGTGAACACTGAGACAGGAACGCTGCACTTACAGCCTTCCCATCTGAGCTGAGTCAGGACAGTGCTGTGTGAAAACTCCTGTATTGTAAGCCCCTGTGTGATAGCAATAAAGTTAAGTGGAAAAAAAAAGTAAAGAAATAATAAATACAAATTTTAAAAAATAAGAAATCATTAAAATTTAAAAAATAAAAAGTAATAATAAAATCAATACAATTAATACAAAAATAAAGTAAAATATAATATAAATAAAAAATGTAACAAAATAATAATAAAGTGATAAAAAAGTTTAAAAGAAAATGTTTGAATATGTGTGTTTCCCTATTTTGCTTAAGGCAGTGATACTGAATGTTTTTTTAACCCCAGTGCCCAAACTAAAACACAATACCAAACTAATTTTAAGTGTTGGCACTTTGAGATAAATTTGGGCACTTGGGCTCAAAAACGTTAGCCATCACTGCTCTAGGACATAAAGTTTCTCTCCCGTTCATTGAAGGACACAGGCAACAGATCGTAGATCCTGAATGGTAGACGGGGGGTGGGTGGTACCGCGGGTACCGTATTGTCCCTGGAAGTTTTTTCTTCTGTCATGGCTGGGTTAGTGACGCGCGTGCAGCGCGCCTTGACGCAGCGCCCTCCTAGGAAGTGGGCCCTGCCTTTTGCCGTCCCCTGCCTTGTCAGGGGAGTCATTTTACGGTGAGTACAAAAATCCTATTTTTAGCAGAACATGAAATGTTCAGATTTATAGAAGAAGGTTGACTACACAAGAAGGTTGACTAGCAATGCAGTGGTCAGATAGTGACTGCATGCAGAAGATAAGAAATCATGAAGCTTAGCTCCCTTCGTACCCGGAAGATGTCCAGAACTGCTATCAGCTCCGAACTGGTAGAAACCACTGGGACCTCAATACACCCATCTGAAGTCCAAAGAAGTCTCATTAGAAGTGAGCAAGGAGACCATCAAGAAGTTGTATGTTTGGGTTTCAACTTACAGCCTTAACCATTAGAGAATAGAACATCTACTTTGCATATCTTTCATTAAAAAAGTTAATGAAACACCAGAATCTTTTAAACATCTCAATGGACGTTTATTTTTTTTTTAACCTGACTAACTATGTAACATCTATAATGGAGGTGCTGTGGCCTCAGGCTTTCCATAAGGGCCCACAATAAATGCAAATCAACTTACTTTTTCTTTAGTGCCCACACTGTGTCTGCTGAAAATGCTTCCAGGCTGATAACTAACAACAGTAACCGGAGACAGAGGAACCACATCAACAGCTCTTTGTAGGACCTAAAAACAAAAAGGTTTTCATTATAGATAATCATGTAATCCTATGAAACCTAAAATTAAATTTACATTTTAAATGGACATTCTCCCATCAACTTTTATTTCGATGCACTAGCAAAGAAGGCTTTACCTACCAGAATGAGATCCCTGTTCGCCTGTGTGCACTGCCAAGTGAATCCAGTAAACAGCTAAATGATGTAAAAATATTTTTCCCTTCCTGATTTCCTCGTTTACTGCAAATTTGTCCACTTTTGCAACTTTCCAAATGGCAACTCGACACTCCTGGTTAAAATTCACTACTATTCCAAGTGTTATCCTTCAGTAGCCAAAAAACCCTTCTATGTTTGCCTCTCTGAAATTCATCTGGCTTTTTTTTTTCTGATTACTCCAACTTTAGGTCTAAGTCTTGCCAACCGCCTTCCCCCTATCAAATGAGAGTACTTAAGTAAGCACTGCAGGCTGCATAACAAATAAAATATGGCTTTTTCATGTGTATGTGAATACGTTTACTAAGCTGTCCTGTGTCGGCAGCACGCTGCAGAGCAGGAACATTTCTCCCAAATAGAGCACATCGGGCTGGGTCTCCTGCAGTCCAACACATCCTCTGCACTCTGCTCCAATCAACAACGAGAGTTTTTTCTTTGCACACAAAATTATTGATGTGAACTCCAGATACCACTAAATACTTTATAAATTATTCTGATTTGTCCAGTCTGATTTTGAGGAGTATTACGTCTACAAAAGGTTACTTTACGGCTTTTTTTAGACCACTCTATGTTCATGCATATTGCACAATGTTTGTATCTCAACTCTGTTTCCTAACAGTTTGGACAGGAAAGTCATTGTAAACCTCGTTTTTTGACATACACATGTATACTCTGTAAAAACCTTTTTTTACCTTCAATAAACATTTTTTTTTTTAAACAGAAAAAAAAAATGAAAATGTTGGAATTGATTTCAATTTGATAAAGAAGCACTCAAGGGTACTAAAAACATTTTTAAGGCACTGTACATTCCTATATCAGTAAATCTGACTGGAGGAACAACAGTACCAGCTCAGGAGAAGATCAGGAATGTTGAGCTAAACTCAAAATCCCCTTCCGATTACACATGGTTACCAATTACATTTAAAAAGCTAAACAGTTTACACCCACCGGGCTTGCACTCACAATATGAGGATTTGTACACAATAAACAAAAACTTATTGGTACTCAGATATCAGTACACAACAATACACTCACCTCCTCATTTGATGCACACGAAACATTCTCAAATTGCGTTAAATGGGTAGGACTGCTCACTGCATCCATTCTGGTTAGGTACATGACCTTTTGTCCAACTTTTTGCAATGAGTCTACAAGGCTAAGAATATATTTGCAATATTACTGAAAGATTAGGCGATTTGTTTAGTGATTACACATGCATGACAATTTAAGTGGAATGCAAGGTCACCAACTAAATCTTTATAAATCCTCGCTCTGTTTTTCACACAGCACTGTTTCACCTTGCAAACTAGAGCTGCAACAACTAATCGATTAAAATCGATGATGAGAATGGTTGGCAACTGTTCCCATCATCGATTAGCTGATTTTCGATTAGTTGCTGGCGGCGGAGGTACGAGGGGGCGCAGCGGTGGATTTGAGAGTCACCGGCCGCATTCTCTTCTCCCTGCTGGTGCTGGCGGTCTGTGTCCCTTTCACAGACCGCTGTAGTCGGCACGAGAGGGGAGAAGAGACTGCAACTGGTGACTCTGAAATCCCCCGTGGGGACAAAATTAAAAATTCAATCATGCAGGAGAGCGCACATTTTCTCACTGGTTTGGGGTCAATGTTATTTTTGTGGTTTATTTAAGTTTAAAGTTTGTTTTCTCCAAGTAAACATTTAATAGATAACAAAGGGGTTATCCAAAGAGAGAACACAGCAGACGAAGATTGATTTTTGGCTTAGTCTATGTGAACCTGAGCTTCGTTTAGCAATGCTAACCGTAAAAATAGGCCCCTGATATTTCCCTTTTAAAATAGAAAAAGAGATTGAGAACAGAAAGTCCTCAATCTCTTTTTCTGTGTCCCCAGTTATCAATGAACAGGAATCCTCTATGAGTGTTTCTGTTCATTGATAACATGAGAACATTGTTTGTTTACTATAACTACAATTATGAATGAATGGGGGTGACAAAGATCACTCCCATTCATTCATAATTGAGGATATAGTTAGCATACCATATCCTCAATTATGTACACACTCAGCGATCACTGATCTGATCGAGCGGTGTAGAGAAGAGAGCCCAGCCTCCTGTGACATCGCTGTCTTTGCCCACACCGCTCTGCCGAACTGTGATTGGCGGCAGAGCGGTGTGGGAGGAGACGCCGGCCGCTCACAGCGCTCTCCACCGCAGCGCACGGCCGGCTTTCACTTTCTCTCCCCCCCGCTAGTACATAGAGCAGCGTCCAGCGGGGAGGAGAGAAATCAGGGATGCGCCGATGTATCGGCAGGAAAATGGCACTTATATATATATATACACACACACACACATACAAAGAAATTAAAGGTCTAGAATTTTTATCATAGATGTATTTTAAATGATAGAGACAGAATATCAACCAAAAATCCAGAAAAAAACACGATACAAATGTTATAAATGAAGTTGCAGTTCAGTGAGTAAAATAAGTATTTGATCCCCTACCAACCAACAATAATTCTGGCTCCCACAGACTGGTTATGTGTTACACAGATTAGTCCTGTCAATTTAGGAAGGTGCTGAATCCCTGAATCTCTCTTTCATTCAAACCTCACCACCATGGGCAAGACCAAAGAGCTGTCAAAGGATGTTAGGGACAAGATTGTAGACCTGCACAAGGCTGGAATGGGCTACAAGACTATCAGCAAGAAGCTTGGTGAGAAGGAAACAACTGTTGGAGCGATTATTCGCAAATGGAATACAAAATCACCATCAATCGCCCTCGGTCTGGAGCTCCATGCAAGATTTCGCCTCATGGGGTAAGGATGATCAGGAGAAAAGTGAGGATCAGCCCAGAACTACACGGCAGGAGCTAGTGAATGATCTCAAGGCAGTTGGGACCACGGTCACCAAACAAACCATTGGTAACACAATACACCGTCATGGATTGAGATCCTGGAGCGCCTGCAAGGTCCCCCTCCTCAAGAAGGCACATTATTCAGAGAAAGATTGTGAGAAAGTGCTGCGGTCAGATGAGACCAGAATTTAGCTCTTTGGCATTAACTCGACTCGCTGTGTTTGGAGGAAGAAAAATACTGACTATGACCCTAAGAACGCCATCCCCAGTCAAGCACAGAGGTGGAAACATTATGCTTCAGAGCTTTTTCTCTCTCTGCTAAAAGGTACAGGCCGACTTTGCTGCATTGAGGGGCCAATGGTCGGGGCCAAGTATTGTAAAAGCTGGGATGAGAACCTCCTTCCCTCAGCCAGAACACTAAAGATGGGTGGTGGATGGGTCTTTTAGCATGACAATGACCCAAAACATATCGCCAAGGCAACAAAGCAGTGGCTCAAGAAGAAGCACATTAAGGTCATGGAGTGGCCTAGCCAGTCTCCAGACCTTAATCCTATAGAAAATGTATGGAGGAGCTCAAACTTCAAGTTGCCAAGCTACAGCCAAGAAACCTTAAGGATTTAGAGAAGATCTGTAAACAGTGGACCAAAATCCTTCCTGAGATGTGTGCAAACCTGGTAACCAACTACAAGAAACGCCTTACCTTTGCTTGCCAACAAGGGTTTCTGCACCAAGTACTAAGTCATGTTTTGCTTGGGGATCAAATACTTATTTTACTCACTGAACTGCAACTCAATTTATAACATTTGTATCATGTGTTTGTTCTGGATTTTTGGTAGATATGTCTCTATCATTTAAAATACACCTATGATAAAAATTATAGACCTTTCATTTCTTTTTAAGTGGGTAAACTTACTAAATCTGCAGGGGATCACATAACTATTTTCCACACTGTATAATTATATATATCTATATATAGATATAGATCTATATATAGTGATCAAGATATACATTCCCTTAAACTACAGCAGATTATTTCTAAAATTTGGTGTTGTTACCTATAGCAACTGCTTATATTTCAACTTTCATCTGTTCCATTCAGAACTAAGAATTAAAGCTGACGGGTTGTTGTGGGGAACGTAGACTGTTTAATTCCATCCACTTTCTATACAGTACATCTGCCATGCACTTACCTGCTTTTGTCCATTTGCGTGGCATGAGGAAGGAGCCCATTCTCTTTGATGTCTGAGTTTTTATCACTTTCTGTGTTCAAAGCATTATTTGCATCCACAAATATTGACTCCAGATTAAGATGAGCTACCTGTAAATAAAAATAAAAACATACATACCTATTAGTACATCAGGAAGCCTGGAGACTTTAATAGCTGTAGGGCTTTCTGTTTTCTAACTATCACAAGCCCAATTTTCCATTTTATTAGAAACTCCCTGTAAGCCCCTTTAAAATGGTACACTGATAATAAAGGTTGCATTTTCTAGATTTTGGAGTTAAGTCCTACCACGCTAACCCCAGCATTATGTCGCCTCACTGCCCAATGCGAACTCCCCCATTGGTGGTGGGTAGTATGTCTGAACTCCAGGATTGGCACCTAACCAACCAATTGAGGAAATTCAAGCAACAAAATGGAACTAAGTTTCAAAAGGAAAAACAGAGGAAGGTATTCCACTCTACTACAATTTCCACCTCTGACCTTCAGGTAGCAGTCCCACTCCTCCTGCTTCATTGTTAATAGAAATTAAAGCAAAGCAACAGGTTTAAACTAGGGATGTCCCGATACATATGCTAGCATCGGAATCGGGCCCGATACAGGGCATTTTGACAAGTACTTGTACTTGTCAAAATGCCCCGAAGCCTAGCGCCGAAGCTTGCGCTATGGTTTTTTTTTTTTCTTAACCGGCATCTATTGAAAACTGGTAGACTGAAGCTCTGGTCTGTTTTATGAGCAGCACCCACACAAAGTTATAATGCTTTTATGTGTAATATCTATTAAAAAAAGTGTTTTTTCACTGCTCATGCATATGGTTTAAAAGAAAACTAAAGTCAACCTTTTTTTTGGCTTTAGTTCTCGTTTAGCATTTACTAATGTCCTCCTGTGACCCAAACTCGGCTTTATTTCATTATGCTATATGCATGTCTTGTAGCCCTGACAAAGGTGGAGTGTTGTTGCCCCTGAAATGTGTTGGCTGTTTTTGTTTGATCAAATTGCGAACAATTAACCCCTTCGTGACGGGAGACGTACAGTGTACGTCCCGTCACAAAGTGGCTATATGACTGGCCAACTTTTGGACTCGTTCACATTTTGATTTGGTGCCCTTTATTTTTAAACTTTGAGTTCTTGAATAAGTCTGTGTAGCCAGAGCCAGCATAACTTGAAAATTGGTTTAGCAGTACAGGTAGGTTGGACAAGAGATAACATTTACTAGTACAGATGATATATTGACATTGCAGAAGTTGTGATGGCTGTATACAAGTGGCCAAACCATTGTTCATACAACTCTATGATAGCGGCACATCTACGAAAAGCCACATACCTTCTCTGGGCCAAACTCGATAAAATACTGTGCTAATTTCAAAGCTGCTGCGGCATCTTCTGAGGGCCTGTGACCAACCACATCTTCACTCTGAATGTCTCTTCTGTGTATACAAAAAGATTAAATAAACACAGACTATGTTCTCTTTATTACATAGGCCTAAGTCACTTTCAATGCATGTTTGATGTTTACAGGTCATATATACTATACATTGTCCAATGCCAATTCCCTTTAACAGGATCAACGTTGATTAATTCAGTATTCATTAATTGAATTAAAGTAAACCTGAAACAAGCATGGGCAAATCAAACCTACAATATAACGAATCAAACTCACAAGTGTGTTAAAACAATCAGCCGATCCAAAGAATATATCAGTTCACCAATGTGTACATTTTACTTACCAAGTGTTGCTTGCTATTTTTGATGATAGGATGCCAATCACATAAGTTTGACAAATCACCGTGGGCAGGAGGGGCTGTATAATACAATGTCAGCTGCCAGCACTTGCATCCATTCGCATGTAGTCACATATGCGATTGCACATTGATTCCTATTACATTTACAGCAGTACTCCAGGCACTACGAACTAGTGTTATAAAGGGTAAAGCCTCTTAAATACCCAAAAGCCGCCTCCTGTGATGACTGCCATCTTTTAAATCCTGAAAATCTTCTTGCTTACAGTATAGCTCCCACTGTACTTTCATGACCGCTCAGATGTAAGCACTGCAGATCTCAATAAACTTCAGTGCTATGGTCGCATCTCCACCCCATTTTTTTTTTTCTGGCCAGTCACAAAGCACACAGTTCAGGGTCCATTTTGTAGATGGCCAGGAATAGGAGGGCGGTAAAGCGGTGGGAGTTGTACACCGGAAGTTGTACTTATCCCCGCATGTAGGGATTTAAAAGATAGCAGTCATCATGGGAGGTGGCTTTTATATAATCAAAGACTTTACCTGCTATAACACAAGCGAGTTCACTGTGCCCTTAGTTCAGCTTTAAAGCTAAATTAAAAAGCACAACAGAGGGAAGCGACTCGATATGTAGAAAAAAGGTACATACTGTAATACTGCCTGGGCCAAAAACTTTAACTTAAACTTCCTTCCAAACTCTCGAGAAAAAAGAAGGGAAGTGTCGATCAAATTTCGATGTATCATCTGTAACAACACAAAAAATAATTACAAAGGGGAAAAAAGTGAAGATTTTATATACGCAGTATAAAAATTATATATATATATAT